CTGCTGCTGTTTGACTCGGAGAACGGCGACTTGCGCAAGGCCGAGTTCCCGCGCACGGTCTCCGTCGTCGAGGGCAAGCTGTGAGCTCTCCTCGCGCTCCCGCGATTTCACCCTTCGCCCTGACGCTGACGTCGCCGGCTCGAGCGTGCAGCCCCGTCACCTTCGAAGTCGATCTGCAGCGCCATGCGGCAAGTGTCGCCTTTCGCGCCGTCAGGAGGCAAGGCTCCGTCGAGAGACGGTTGCTCGGCAGGACGCCACTTCAAATCCTCGAGCGTCCCATCGTCCTCCTCCGCATCCTCGAGCTTCTCCTCGCCATCCCCGTCGACGCGGACAACATGTACGACTCGACGATTTTGATCTGGGACCACCTCACGACGCACGGCGTCGTCTTCGAAGACGACGAGATCGAGCCGCACACGCTGCCCGCCCCCTTCCCGCTCGCGGTCCTCCTCCTGGACCTGCGCGCCCTCTTCGAGGCACACCGCGAGCGCTCGCGCCGCCTCTCGGAGCCCGCGCTCGCGTCGTCGGCCGACCTCCTCAGGCACGACGGGGACCTGCATCGCGGCGTCTTCCTCTCCTGCGACGCGTGGGAGGAGCTAGCGGAACGCGTGCGCGTCCTGCAGGACCCCGACTGGATTCATGACATGGGGCTCAAGAGGAGCAAGCTCGAGCTCTTCCTGCGGGACCACAACGTCGCGACGGCGCACGCCGACCTCGAGCTCGAGTGGCCCTTGGCCCGCCCGCTCGCGTTCACTCGGCACCTCGGCGGCGCGGACCTTGACGGCAGGGAGCGAAGCGCCTAACAGCAGTCGTACCAGCTCCATGACGAGCAGCGCAAGGCCCTCGCGCAGCGCAACCGGAGCGCCTGGGGCCAGGCGTTTGCATGGTTCGACGTGCGTTGCACCGAGGTTTTCTAGACGTGTCAGGCGCAGAGTCTGACTGCTCTCTGTCCGCGCAGGTGTTCCTTGAGATCGTCGCCCGAGGGGAGCCTCCCGGGGCGGCTTCGCAACCGGCGGCGCACTCGCTCGCTAAGCGGGCCGTAGCACCTCGCCTCGCTTTCGAGCCTCAAGCGCGCCGTCAGCTGTAGGCAGGGGAGTAGCCTCGTCGGCGGAAGCGTCATCGGGCGGTGCGCACGACGTCAGGATCGCCTCGCCGCTTTGCTGCGCTGCTCCCTCTTCGAGAGACCACTCCGTCGCCTCTCTGCCTCTTCTTTGCCTACATCACCGCGCCGAGAGAATACTCAGGCTTTTCGCTCGAGCGGTCCTCCTGCCGATACCTCCTGACCTCCTGTCGGCGCCGCGGGGGCCTCGCGTCCGCGGACATTCCGAACCCACACGCTCGCGCCGCTGTGTCCGTCCGCGCACTCCGCCACGCTGGCCTCCCTCGCTCTCCCTCCCACTCTACATGTCGCTGCATCCCTCGGTGCCAGCCAGCGCACGCTACGCAGCCCCAGGCGCCGCCTCTCCCAGTCGGCCTTCTCAAGCCACTGCGTCGACGCCCGACCTCGAGAGCACGCTCCTCTTTTCGCCCGGGCACCGCCGCTACTCGAGCGACGGCGGGAGCTCTTACGACGACGACGATTCTAGCAGCAGCGGCGAGGAGAAGCACAAGCACCGGAGGCCGGCGAGCCCCGCGCCCGCCACGGTGCGCCTTTCCCTTTCCTTTCTTTTCGCGACCGTGTTGACGCTCTTGTAACAGGGCACCTCCCCCGCCGTGGTGATACTCGTCGTCGCTCTCGTCGTCGCTGTGGCCGTGGCCCTCTATTTTGCCCTGCGCGGCTCGAATCTCTTCGTGCGCCGGTCTCTCGCCTTCACACGGTTTCGCGAACCTGACGACCCCTCGAGTGAGCACAGGGCCAGTCACCGAGCGCAAGCGGAGGTGGCACGGGCGCGGCGCCTGCTACCACCCGCCCGATGGCAGGGTCCTCTCCCGGTGGGTCCGACGCCCCTGCGCCGTCCAGCTCATCTTCCTCTGCCCCCTCGTCCAAGTCTTCGAGCGGGACTACCAAGTCCTCGGCGAGCGCGGGCGCTTCTCCCGGGCCGTCAATGGGCACGATCACCGTTCCTCCGCCCTGGACCCCGCTCACGTCGGTCTGACTCGCCCCCCGGGCCGCAGGTTCCGACGAGTCGAGCGGGTCGTCTGACAAAGGCTCGACGGACAAAGGCGACTCGACGGACAGAGAGAAACCGACGGCCTCCGGAGGTGGCGCGACAGGCAACGGCGATGCCTCGACAAGTGCGCCCCGTCCGTCGTCAACTGGCGGCTCCAGCTCGTCCGGAGGTCCGCTGGTCGACGATTCTCTCAAGGGCCACAACGATTTCCGCGCGACGCACCACGCCGACGCCCTGACTTGGAACGACACGCTTGCTGAGGCGGCGCAGCGATGGGGTGCGCCTCGACTTCCCTCACGGCGTGGTGTAACACCTTCGCTTACACGCTGTCCTTCTGCAGTCGAGAACTGCGTATGGGAGCACAGCGAAGGGTCACTGCTCGGCGGCGGGGTGCGTCTGCCCGCGCTCACAGCTCTTCAAGCCTTTGGCTGCCTGTCCTCGGTCCCCGTCCTTCAGTCGCACTGACGCCTTCGCGGAGATTGCAGTACGGCGAGAACCTCTTCATGACAAGCAGCACGGCCTTTACGAAGGACTCGACGTCAAGTGTGCTCGACGCCGTCGGCTCTTGGTGAGCACCGTCGCCGCTCGTCTTGGCTGATTCAACGCTGACCCCATCGCGAGCCAGGAACGACGAGGAGAAGATGTACGACTATGGCAACCCGGGCTTTACGCACGAAACGGGGCATGTGCGTCCGCCCAGCTCTCTCGGAAGCCGTTGTTGCGGGCCTCGGCACGCGCGGACCCCCCCGCATCCTTTCTAACGCTTGTTCTTCCACCCACAGTTCACGCAGACGATCTGGATGGGCACAAAGTGAGCTTCGAATCATCAATCGCTCCGCAGAGGCGCTTGCTCACCTCGTTCGCCGCCACCCCCTTCGTGCCCTGCCGTTTCTCCCCGTTCCCCGGGCTCCTCTCGACCCAAATATCCACGTCGCTCTCGTACCCGCTAGGTCCGTTGGCTGCGCCATGGGCACCTGCATGGGGCTCATGACCTCGGGACAGTGGGCGGTGCGCTGCCGTCGTCCTTCCTCGGGCAACCTCTGACCTCGCCGCTCACCGTTAGTCCTTGCACAGGTCTACTACGTCTGCGAGGTGCGTAGCCCGTCGCTTTCCACTCTAGCTAGCGCGCTCAAGCCAATCCGCCCGCTGCCGGCACACAGTACTTTCCCCCTGGTGTGTCAACTCGCTCCTCCACCCTTGCCTGCGCGCGCTCACTCGTCGCACCCGCAGGCAACTGGGAAGGGCAATTCCCAGAGAACGTGTTGCCTCCGTAGCTGCGACACCGTGCGATTCCTGGTACCGTCTATCTCCTCCCAGGCTCTATGCCGCTCTTCTCCCACACGTCTTGGATCGCGCCCCAGTACCTCTTGGGGTCCACCCGCGCATGCGCCACGTGCGGCGTCCCCTCGAACCGCTCTGCCCGGACCTCAATCCCGAGCGCCCGCGCGTCGGCAGCGTGTCGCTCGACGTCGGCGCAGGGGACGAGCTTGTCGGTCGTCGAGTAGAGGTACAGCCGCGGGACTGAGGGAAGGGCGCGCGAGTTGAAGTATGCAAAGACGCGCGAGAGGATCGAGGGGCGGCGGCGGACGCTGTGCGGTCGAGGACGATGGGCTCAGCCGTGTCCTCGAGCCAAAAGAGAGGTGGAAGCGAGCGCACAAGTCCCAAAGCTGGATGGCGCCGTACATAATGGCGAGGACGCCCATGAGCGGGACCTTGATCAGCGGGTTCTTGACGCCTGCCGTGAAGGCTGCGATCGTTCCCCGGAAGCTCGAAAGGCCAGGGCACGAGTCCAGGACAATGGCTCGTGCCGGCAGCGTAGCGTTGCCCAACAGCGGCTTTTGCCCGTCGGTCTTGCTGGACTTGCGCATGAGCTCGTTGAGCGTCTTGAGCGTGAGGCAGCCGCCGTTGGAAAAGGCGTGCACGAGCAGGCCGCTCGAGGGGCCCGCCGTGTACCCGCTCGCTCGTGCTCGCAGGACGTCGGCGGCCGGTGCGAGGGCCTGAACGAGCTTGGACGGGCGGAAGAAGTCGCCCTCGGTCGAGCGAAGCAGGAGGATTGCGCTTGTAGGGTACTGGGGAGAGGAGGGCGAGGTCAGCGCGGATTCTACGCGCGACGGTCGGTGCAAGTGTAGCTGACAAGGTTGCGGTACGTGTCGGCGTACTTTTCGACATGCTTGAGCTGTGCCTGCGTGGGGGCGGCGGGATGGCCGGGTGGGTGGGGAGATGGGGGAGATGGGATCAGCGGATCACGCGATGCGCAGGCAGAGCTCGATGAAGCTCACACCCATCCACCCAGAGATCAAGATGAGTTGGGGCGCCTTGTCAGAGCCACATGCTGCCGTGCCATTCGCGAGTGTAGATGCCGGAGGTTCGGAGAGGTAGACGGCGTTCGAGAGCTTGGTCAAAGGGCGCAGCGCCTTGCTCGGCGACGACATGGCTGTGTGGATTCGAGGAGTCGAGTGGTAGCCGTGTCGGCGTCCTCGAAGAGACAAGCTGAGCGAGCAGACGTGAGCGGAGGAAAGCCGCGCCTCGGGTCGCCGGCAGCCAAAGTCCACCTTTCGCACGGGCGGTGCCACGAAGTGGGCTCGCGCAGTCAGACCTTGCATGCTACCGTCAGTGAATCTCGAAAGGGAGAGAGCAGTAGGCGGAGGGAGGGCCGACCTGCAGACGCACTCCGCGAGATGCGCATGAACGGCGCTTTGGCCTCTCGCACGCGCGGATGCCTCTGGAATCAGACCGTTCACGCGCAGCCAAGAGAGCAAGGCAGCGAGAGGGGAGGCGGCCCTCTGTCCCTGGCGTCCGCACGAGTCTCCTCGTCGTGAGGGGCTCGAGGGCGGTGGGCTCGGGGTGGGCTAGCTATGTACGCAAGTTGTCGAAGGTCATCCAATCAAGAGCGTCTTGGAACAGTGGCAGTTCGTTGGGCTCATATTCTCGCATCGCGAGAAGGCACCCAAAAGTCCCTGGATCGAGACCAGGAGACGCTACTACTTCTTTTTTGCCGCCCGCCAGGCCGTGCTCGTCGTAGGCCCGTCAGCGGCCTGCCTTCACTGCATGGGGAAACGCTCACCGCGGAAGATGCAAAGGCGACTCAAATTAAGCGTGCAAGCCCTTGTTTTGCTGGCCGGCAAGAGCAGCCGCTGACGCTGCGGCTGCCATCTGCTCCCCTGTTCTGACCGCAAGCCCGCCCTGGCAACCGCAGACAGTCACAGCGACCGCCGACAGTGAGCGAGACGCAGAGGAGACAACTTGAGAAGGTCGAGTGCTCAGTCGAGTCCTGCGTCCACCCAAAGTCTCGTGCGCACCTTGAAGACTGGGAGCGCAAGCCTCGCACACTCTTTTGAGTGCAGACCTAACAGCTCTGACCAGGCGAGGGGTCACAACGCTGGGACCCCCCTACGGGCGGCGGCGCACACATGTCGACTGTCGCCTCCTCCTGCACTCTCGCTCTCAATGCATCAGTAACGCTCACGAACCAGCTCCTTGCAGTCCAAGAGTCCCGTACAGCGTCCAGCGGTTCCGCTCCTCCTGCTTCTCCTCCTCGAGAGGCTCCGGTCCGCACACCTTCACCTCTCGGCCATCCCTCAAGCACTCCACCCTCCCCCAATTCCAGGCACGCACCTCGCCCTCAACGCTCACCTCGACCCAGTCTGCCCTGTCCCGCGGCGTTACCCCCGCCTGCTCAGCTGCCGCGAGAAACGCCGCCACGGCCTTGCGACCGGTGTGGAAGCCCGCAGCAAAGTGTACTGTCGCAGAGGGGCATGCGGCAAGAAGGGACACGAGTGATTTGACGAGTGAGCCGTGCAGAGCGGGTGACCAGACGCAGTCGGCGACGAGGAGCAGGTCAAACGACGGCGAGATCCTGTGAGAGCGGGTCAGCAAGAGCTGAGCTGGCGCAGGGAGAGAGGTATACCCACCTCAGCAGAGGCTCAACAGACCTGCCCCATGTGTGTGGAAAGACGTGCACTCGGTGTTGAAGCTCGGGCGACAGCGCCTCGTCAACCGCGCGGGCTGTGTCATCGAGCGCGTCTTTCTGGTCATAGTCGGTGAGGACGACCTGCGGGGCGGACAGCATCAGTCTCGGGACATGCTATGGGAGCGCACACGGACGCACCAGCTCGGCGCCCATGCGCGCGGCGACCAAGCCGGGGAGGCCCAAGCCCGCGCCCAGCTCGAGGACCCGCTTGCCCGCGACGTCGATCTCCTTTGCAGCGATCTTGTCCGCAAGCAGGATGCTTGCGTTCCAGACGTAGCTGGCGTAGCGGTCCCTCGTCCTGGGCGGTGGCACTGGGAGGGCGAGGAGAAGTGGGGACGGCGCGCGCAGGGGAGCGCACCACGTGAAGAGGGACCCGGGGACGCCGTGTGCGGGCGAGGGCGAGAGGTAGTTCTCTGGGAAGCAGCCTGTCAAGGGCAGCATGGCGCAATTGCGAGAGTGGGCAAGGTGGGGAGGGAAAAGAGGCGTTTGCTGGCTGCGAAGGCGGGGGAACGTCGACTCGCGCCCTCGCACGTGACACTCGGGTCGAGGGAGGGCCGCCGCGCTGTCCTCGCCAGGTTCGAGGGCGCAGCAGTCTTGGGGTTCCGGACCGGGCAAGACGGCAAGCGAGCCTTCGCACGAGTCACACGCTGACCATCGCCGCCTTGGAGCCCGGCGCTCGAGCCCCTCCTTCGCTCGACCTGCCCACGTCGGCCTCTCTCGGTCGCTCGCACGAACGAGTCTGCTGCTCCTGGTCCTGGTCGAGTACCCTCGAGGCTATAGCTGGCGAAGCGAGGGGCTGCTTCTGGCGGAGGACTCACAGTGACGCCCTCCGAAGAGAGCCTCCCCTCAAGCTTGCACCGCCACTCCGAGGTCGGCCTTGTGACCAATCTCCCTCTCGTGCGCTCTCCTCTCTTCCGTTCTCCTGATCACTCGCCAGCACCGACTCGACGTATCCGCCATGGCAGCACCAGCTGGAGCACTCTCATCAGCTGCCCCGCACGTCAACTTTAGCAAGTTCGCGACCCCCGACTCCCCCACGGTCAACGTCCCGATGAGGGTCATCAACAGGCCCTTGCCGTCAGAGCTGGACCAGGCAAAGGTCGAGACCTTCATGGAGGGCATCAAGGTGCGCTCTTCCTCTCTCGCCCCGACTCGACCTTGCCGCGCACGACCTCGCACGCCCTCGCTGACCTCCTCCCTGTCGTCCAAACTCCCCTCGAGCAGAAGGGCGACGACTTTACGCCCATAGAGGTCCTCAAGTGCGTCGCGCCGGACGGGCAGAAGTACTACTTTGCGTTCGGAGGCTGCCATCGGTGCGTTCGCCGTCTGAAGAGCGGCCGCCCCTGCGCAAGGCCCGCTCCAGGGCTGTCCCCCTCTCTGGCGCAGCCTGCGCTCACTCTGTCTTCTAACACACAGGTTCGAGGCACACAAGCGGTTGCAGAGCGAGACGATCCCGGCGCGCATCATCAACGTCCCGCCCTCGGCCATCCGCCTGTACCTCGGCGCAGGCTGCCCATTTTGAGCGCTCGAAGCGCGCCAACTAGACGTATCGACCGAGAGCTAGAAGTCCCATGCAGTACAAGACAGTCCCACAAGCTCGCGAGGTGATGCTGCTCTTCCAGGCGAGAGACGGGAGGAGGCGAGAAAACGCGGGAGGGAAGCATGCTCGTTCCAGCCCATAAAGCGGGCTCTACTGCGCCGCCGCCGCCGCAGGGGCCTGGCTCTCCTGCCCGCTGACGCGCCACACAATCGTCCTCGAGCCCTCCCCGCCAGCGACGAGGCGCTCGCCGTCCCAGTCGATGGCAAGCACCTTCTCCGGCTCCTTGCGGTCGTCGTCGCCCTCCTTTTTGGGCACAGGGAGCGTGAACAGCGCCTGCTTGGGGCTGCGCGCGTCCCAGATGCGCACCGTCGAGTCGTAGGACCCGGACGCGAAGAGGAGGGACGACGTCGGGTGCGCGGCGACGGCAGAGACGGGCGCAGAGTGGCCCGCGAGCGTGAGCGAGATGTTTTGCGTCGCGTCGGTGCGGAGGTCCCACAGGCAGATGAGGCGGTCGGTCGAGCCCGTCGCGAGGAGGTTGGGCGCCGTCAGCTGCGCCATGGCGAGGAGGACCTTGTCGCTCGTCTGTGGGCGCGCGGAGGTGCTCGAGTCGTTGTCAGCTCTCGAGTCACGCGGCCAAGAAGAAAAGAACGGTCACAAGCGCACCTTGCTGCTGATCTCCTCGCCCACCGACAGGTCCCAGCTGCGGACCGAGTGGTCCCACCCCGCCGAGTAGGCCTTGGTCGAGTCGCTCCGGTCAAAGGCGGCGCGCGAGATCTTGCCCGTGTGCCCGCGCAGGACAGCCGAGGGAGCCTGCGCGACAAAGGCGTGAGTACAAGAGACGGTTCAAGCAAGAGGGACGAGGGCGCGCACCTTGTTGACCACCGTGGTCGACTGGCGCCGGCGCTTCTTCTTGCGGTCCGCGCCCTCGAGATCGGCCTCGCCCTCGTTGACGCCCGGCGTCAGGTCCCACAGGCCGATGAGGCCGTCCCAGCCTGCCGTCAGGAGGTGGGGCGCAGAGGTGGCGGAGGTCGAGGCGGAGGGAAGGGGGCGGGTGCGGACGGACGAGATGGGGGCCTGGTGGAGGGCGAGGGTGTAGAGGCAGGTCGGGGCGGGAACGGTAGGCTCGGCATCGAGCGAGAGGGGCGGGATCTGCACATGGGAGAGGGTGAGCGGACGAGGAGGAGAAGCTGCGCGGAGACGGCAGAGAGACGCACCGAGTACTCCCAGACGCGGCCGACGCGGTCCATGCCACCGCTGGCGACCCATCGCTTGTCTTCCGAGCCGAGGGGTACGGGGACGTAGGTCGCAGAGAGGGCGGACAGGTCGTGGCCGGTAAAGGTGAGGTTGCTGCCAGGCGGGAGGTCGTTGCTTTGGAGCGAGAGGGTGCCCGCGTACGACGCCGTGAGGATGCTTCTATTGACTCGCAGGCAAAAAGAGGAAGGGAGTGTGCATGAGCAAGTGTAGATTGCAAGTTCGGGGCAACGAACGAGGCGCTACCGCGCGAACCGCAGGGGACGCAAGCGACGCACCCTCGAACCGCAACCGACACATCGCTGACCCAGTCCTCGCTCGGCAGCGTGCTCTCCAGCTGAGGCGGCAGCGTCGACGGCAGAAACTCCACCTCGAGCACGACTTCCTCGCTCGTGCCCGTCGCCTGGCAGTAGGCGCCGAGGGAAGAGCGCAGGAGAGTCTGGTCGATGAGGAAGTCGAAGGGAATGGGCGAGGCTGTTTGCGCGGGCAATTCTGACGAGGTCAGCGCGCATGCTCACGGGCACATACGATCGTGTGCGGGTCAATGCCCTCGGGACGAAAGGCAGGTGGGTGAACGGCATCAGGAAGTGAAGAAAAAGAGTTCGACATCGTCTGAGATAACCTCGAAGACTGCTGAACGAAGAATACCAATGTCATAACGTTGTGTCGTCATGCGCCGTTCACCCAGCTGCTGCCTGTCAGGCGAGAGCGACGAGACCTCCCTCGTCAAACTCCGTGAGAGCTGGAGGGGGTCGACTCTGCGCCGTGACAGCCCTCGCCCAAGCTCGTGCGAGCGCACTCTGGGCAACAAGACCGTGCCAGTGAGGGGTCACTGACGACGCGACCGCATGTCCAGGGTGCGCACGCACAAACGTGGACGAGGAAGGCAGCGACCCCTGCCCGGCCTCGAAGCGAGAGTCCCGCAGAGGGAGGAGGAAAGGCGACGCGCGACTGACCATTGTCGAGGACCTTGTTGATGAGCTCGGAAAGGTGGAAACGCCTCCAGCTGGCCGGCACGAGGAACTTTGCCGGCGGGATCGTGTAAAGCGGGTCCTTGGTCGACAGGCGGATGGCGATCTGCTTCTCGTCGCCTGCGCCCGGGATGGACGCAGTCGACGTGCTGGCGATGGGCTGGCCCTGTTCAGCAGACATGGCGAGCACGGAAAAGCAAGCGAGCGGAGCGGAGTGAGAGAAAGTGAGGGAAAGGAGGGAGACCCGCG